AGAGCAATTAGGTTAAATTTTTTAAGAAGTAGCACATTTTTATTATATAAATTCTCCTATACTTCTTCTCTTATGCATAAAAAAAAAGAGAGTATGCGTAACTACAAAAAAATAGCAAAAAGAAAAGAAAAATGGTTACAAGTGAATGAAAGAAGGAGTAAGAAATTGATCATATAAGAAATATAAAAATTAAGAGTTTCATTTATAAACATAGGGATTGTTTATTAATTTTTAAATTTATTACCCCTCTGTATATTATTTCTTTTTATCTATCTCACCTTTGATTATTAGAACCTTTTGATGACATTTCAACCTGAAAAAGATCTCATGAGATTTGAATTGGGGAATATAAGATTTGACTTGAGAAACCTTTCGATTACCTATACTCGGTGATATTATTCTTTTTGTTCTTTTGATCTTCTATGTCTTGGGTTCCTTGTTATGATTATATTATTTAAGTTATTTCATTTTTCTTAATTAGGACTTTGTTTGAGGGCAAACAAATTTCAAGTATGAGCGATTAATAAGTTTGTATTTTAACATGCTTTAATAGCCTATTTTTATATACTTGATTTTTATTTGAATAGGTTTTGCACTGATTATTCCACTAATCATCACATTTTGCATGTTAAGAGTCGTGATATATTATTAAAGTATTTTAGGCTCAAATTAGTAAAAACTATGGCAAGCAGGCCCATGCTTTAGCAACCAGCATGTCTATGCTTCAAACCATATGCATGTCATGCATATTGATGTGCACAGCCATACTCATTATCAAGAGAATCAAATTAAGAGAAATAGTAAGGTTTAAAGCCCTATTTAAAGAACTATGAAAGTTACGACTTAGACATCTTAGTTTTGACAAGCCGTGGAAGAATTTTGAGAGTTTTAGGAGTATGTCTTAGGATTAAGAATTATTTTTATCTTTTCTCCAATGTGGACTCTTATAGTATATGTTTATTTCTCGGATGACTATAAATTGATTTATTATTATTTTAGTTTTCTATTACATTATGTTTAGCTAAAATGACTTTATGTAAATTTTGTTATTAATCATAATTTTAGTTTCCTTTTTTTATTTCTGTTTATCCTATTACATTATAATTTTTATATTTAAAATTGATAACTCTTAAACATATCATAATTAATTATATCATAAGTGTCAATACCATATATAGTTAATGGATTTATAGGATAAAAAATAAGTTAAAAATTAAGTAGCTCAAGCTTAGTTTTTCTCTTTCAATCGTTATTAAATTAACAAGTTCATAAGATTTTTATGTTTTCTATTCCTTTTGTCTTGCATGACCATTGAGGGTAATAACTTAGGAAAAAAACTATTAATATTGTATGACCATTAATTGTTGATAGATTTAGTATGAGTGATTGGTAGTATTAGAAAATTGAAATTAGAATTAATCTAAAAGTGAATATAAACAAATGTAACAAAAAACTCATGCACTAGAATTCATCTTAAATAGTTTATTGTCATAGGTTGTGTCATTTTATTTCATTTGAATTACTCATATTTGAATCCTTTTTTATTTTATTTCATTATGCATCCTTTAAGTTTAAATAATTATTTTAAAATATTCTTAGTATTTGAAAACTATCTTCGTGGGATGATATTTTGAGAACTTATTTTAGAACTCTTTATTACTTTTTGATAGATACACTTACTCACGAACAACTAACAATTATATTTGATATGATGATTACTTGAATGAACCAATGGTTCTAGTACCACTATTAGGATAAATAAAGGGGTTTAAGACACTAAGAAAATTTTTATTAATAGGTCATGAACAAACCATAGAAGTAGAGTTAGATAATGCATCTAATCTAAAACCCTAAGGTTTGACTCTAATACAACTATTGGGTAAAAATTAGAGGAAGGAGCCCTTATGCATACCTTATCCCTAGAAGCATTCACATGAAAAGGAGATAATAAAAGAAAAAAAATAACATATAACTTTAACGTAATTCAAAACCTATAAATTATCAACATAAATTTATCATTTTATATTTTTTTTATCTTATAAAATTATAAATATACTCAATTAAGCTCTTTAAACAAACAAAATTATAAAATTCTCTCATAACACAATCATATAAACATCCAATACACTCAAAGGACTAATATTATCGTTATTATCGTTGTATGTAAATACAAGATAAAATTTCATATTTATAATATTTTTCTATTTTTCTTTCTTCAAATTTGTTGAAACGAAACTTGAATGAGTCATTAATTTTATTTTATTTTATTTTTGTTTTGTTTGATCAAAGTAATTTTCTTTATATCATTTCATTTTAGTATACTCATGTTTCAATAGTCTTTACGCTGGACAAAGCATATTCATGTCCATTTCATTGTGACACTTTTTTTCTAGCATGAAGCCTTCAATAAAGATAATTAATACCCGTTAAACCAAGCGTCGTGGTTTTGCATGTTCGCGTCCAGCACAAGCGAGACACCATTCTGTGTGTTATGTCTCGTCATCAGCTAGATTCAAAATTTGGTGGAATCCAAAGACTTAAAATTTATTGTATTTCAAAGACATGTATTTTCAACAACGGAGGTTGGTTCGAGTGACAAGTGACTTGATATCGTTTAAGCAAAGTTTTAAATTCGAATTTTTATATATGGAAAAAATATTCAGTGGTAGACTCACTTACCACATCCAAGTACGTGACCCAGGTCAAATTCGAATTAAACAGGATAAAAAAAAACATTATTATCAAAATCTTAGTCACCGCTCCAATAACTTATATGTTAAGATTGACTTATTGTTAGGGCTTTATGCACATATTTTTATTTTAGTTTTTGAATATTTTATATTATGTTACAAAATTTTAAGATTTTTTAATACATTTTATTTTCCTTTAAATTTAGTGGAGTAAGTCATGAGCGTTATCATATTAATGGATTAAATTGAATTAGCATATTTTTAAAAGATAAATGGGGTTAGATTGATTCACTGTTGAATCCAACCTATGATAGTTTATTCCAAGTGAGCCCAAATGGCCCAATTTGATAACTCTACTCACGCCCAGCATTATTCTAAATAAAAGTGAAATTTTAGTATAAGATAGAATTATTGAAAAAGTTGTGTATAGCCTACACACTTGATCTCTTATCCATACCTCAACTAGAGTTTTCTGTATACTGCATGAGTATCGTCAAATTAAAATATTTTTAAAAATAAAAATTAAAGATATATTGTATAATTATTTTAAATTTAATAATTTTTAAAAAATCAATATTTAATTATTAATAATTATTATTTTATATTTTAAATAAGACAAAATTAAGGAAATAAAATTTTGAAATTAACAAATAAGTTATGAAAAAATTAAAATTTTGAATAATAAGAAAGAGAATTAACTCCCAAAATCACTATTTTCTTTTGCTTCTAATTTTTTCTAGTCTCTAAAACACTATCATTTAAAATAGTTCATGAAAACATTCTAGTTTAAAGATAATGACTCAATTTGTATATAGAAATATATTACAATCAATCTATGAGGTAATAAGGGGATAATTAGGAATTAATTAGAAGCTAATGCCTAACAATCACTCGCTAATTGTATCCTAATCACTAGCTAATCAACATAATTATGGTTGGCTAGACATTGCAGTATAAAAGGCAATATTTAATATTCTAACAATTCAGTACAGCTGGAAAAAATTCCAAGGATTAACAATCCGTTTAATTTAAAGTTAAATAAAATTAATTTTATTAAAATTAAGTTTGATAAAATTAATTTGTATTTGGATAAGATATTTTAAAAGTTCAAAAAAATTAATTTTGAGATAAATTAAGTCAATTTGAAAGATAAAATTATGAAAATAAATATAAAATTTGAAAGTGTAATTAGCCCTCTCATGTTTTGCTTAGTCCAATATCAAAAGAGTAATTCTAACAATACACTATCTAAAAGACCTTGTAATACACTCTTATTAAAATTTATTAAAACCTACAAAAATTTAATAAATCGCACTCTTAATTTAATATTTCTCTCATACATTTTTAGTTTTTAATAAAATTTTAACTAATAATAAAGAGTACCTTAATAATATTTCTCATATCAAAATTAAGTGGAGCAATGACATTCTCCCTGCGCAACGGAAGTGTGTTGTGATTTTTTTACCCAAACACTAGCAAAATCACAAACGATGGAGAATAAGGGCTCAAAATATGTATCCAAAGAAGCACTAAAACGGACAAAGATATCTAGGATGGAAAATACTTGAGCAAGAAAACAAAATATTTCTTTCCTGGTAGACGGAAAACCAAATAGTAGGGTATGCTTGCTCACTCAAATCATAGGCTAACTACACAAAAGGACCATACTGAAGTGGACAAAGTTATTTGGGCTTAGAAATTTCTTTGATCGAAATTCTAGAGATTATTATATTACTATTTTCGCCAGCCATTTTATTGGTATTTCAAAATTGATATTTTTAAAGTCTGTTTAATACCTTCTAAAAACTACATTCCAAAAGTCATTTATAAATTCTTTTCAGAAATTAAATCACAGAAATGATTTTAGAACTTCCGAGAGTTTCAGGAGACATTTGTGTAGCACTTCCGGAAGTTAGTTTCTTTAAGTGATTTTATACATTCCGAAAATTAAATTGCAAAAGTCATAATAAAATAAGTGGTGTGAATAACAAAAAAAGGTGGTGCAAACAGTAATCCTCATAGAATCTAGACAACAATCTAGTGAAGTTCATGAACCCCCAAAGTTCAATACATCAAAGACATGGATTGATAGTGACTCTTCTATGAGCAGCACACTGAAGTTCTCAAAATTTCAATTTTCATCACAATAATAACCTCATCACAAAAAATTCTTAGAACAAATGCATGATTGATTCCATGCAAGACCAAATTACGTGTTCACTTCCATTTATAAAGTACATGGATTGGAGGATAAATAATCCTCTTGAAAACTAAACACCAGGCTACCAAAGAATAAGCCATGGAAACAGCTTTCACCATAACATGTCCTAGCATGGAACTTTCCCCATAAAATCTGAACATTTCCCTCCAAACAGAGACCCCAAAGAGCTGTTACAATGCAGAATGCACAAAACTTAGTCATCCAACTCCTTAGTCCTTATCAAAACCTTTACATCTAGAATAATTTGCCATAATCCAAGAAGGACCCACAAGACACAGTGAAGAACTCCTACTCCAAATCTAACTGACCACTGAGCATGTAAAACGAACTATACACTTTTCTGTATTAGAATATAACTTGTAGCAGATAAAGCAATTTTAGGTCTATAAATATGCAATATATCATTATTATAAATCACTGAATCTTTGTAACAAAAGAAGTAGCATAGAAGGAAGTTTAGACTTCCAAAGGAGCATTTCAAGAAAGAATCTCTTCCTATTTAAATTTATTTAATAAAAATAAAAAAAACCTATGCAATGCAGGGGCATATTTACTAGTTCACGTATTAAAATATACAACTTATCCAAATTTATAATCAAATTAATTTTATATTAAAGTTCATTATTGTGTTGTATACTCAAAACTCATGATAACCATATTCATTCATTTACTAAGTTAAATAAGAAGATTCTAAAAATATTTAGAATTAATAGTCGTGCATATTTAAATATTTACATACTTACAATTAAAGTTCTGAAGAAAAAACGAATTTGGATGACTAGTTTTACCGGTTTTGAATTTGACAGAAATAAAGAAGCCAAACTACTGCAGCAATGAGCAACATTTGCCATAATTTCAGGGTAGAGCATAACTGTGGCAATTTTTAGGACATCTCTTCAGATAAGCACCTGCTTTGGCATAAGATTAAGAGTTTGGTTTCCATATGCTGTAAAGCACATGATCTTTTCCTCATATATATGCTAACATCTAGATTTGTTCATCAGTTCCTCCTTGCTTTGTTTTACCCTAGTTTGATTATGGGCCTTCCATGCTTTCGGATCTACTGGTGCTTTCATTGAGAGTTGGGCTACAAAAAGTGTTATCTATGGGTTGGATTAAGGTGCAATGTACCAAATACTAATAGGGTAGTGAAACTGCTAAAAGGGAAGGAGCCATCAAGTTGGTGTCTGTATAGTGAAAACACTATGGACATTGACATCCTCTGTGCTGTCAACACAGACCTAGGATGTCTATTGTTTTACTTATTTCTTGTCTCTTTTATCCCCCTTTCCTTTCCTATTCTTTTTCTTAGTCTAAACAAATTCCTTTTACAAAGAAATAATAATAATAAATATAAGGAATATCAAAATCATACAGCAGCTAGATAAAGATCAGGACAGAACAGACAACATATAATATGAGAAATTTAATAGTCCAAACAAAATATTAAAGGGATTCCAGCTACCCAGTATTTAAAATTAGGCAACAAAGCTACAGTAAAGCCTAATCAGTAATCTCTGAGCACCACCCACTGGATTTTTCAAATTCCCAAATTAAAACAGCAATAGGGGGGTTTCATTCTTTCCTAAGTTTCCCCATAAAAAATGTATACTTTTGAACTAAATAAACTACAGCTTACCAAAGACTGTCAAAAAAAGGGAGCACCATGCATGTAATGAGACTGCCAGAAAAGCTTGCAAGACAATCAACCTAGTTAAAGCCAGTGCCCATTTCCTTTCGCTTTAGTTCTAATGCAATACGTTCATTTTCTACCTTCATTCTTTCATTCTCCAGCTTTAACTTTTCCAACTCCCGGTCTTTTTTCTTACTAAACTTTTGCCACTTGAACTTTTGTTTCTCTAGTTCCAACAACTCAACCTGAATTTGTAACTTCTGTTCTTCTAATTGAAGCGAACGAGATTCAAACCATTGCTTCTGTACCCAAGCTGCTTTCATGTTTTCAGGTAACGCTTGATTTACATCAGATTGTACCATTTGAGGATATGAACTTTTGTTGTACTCTTGACTGTTTAAAGCACTCCCAAACGTAATAGTATCTTCTTGGCCTTGCCCGTGTTTTAATCTCTTCATAGATCCCCCTGATGTACCAAAGATTCCTCTATTCTCTCCATGGGAAGCATAATTCTCTTCAAAGTCATCATGATCATCAGTTTCCATATCTTGATCATCTTCATCATGATCATCGTGATAGGACCTTCTGATATCATCATCGTGATCATCTCTATTTCGTAGAGCTAACTGCAGCGACCGTTGCAAAGCAGGATCATGGGGCAAATGCAATCTATTACCATTATGGTAAGAACACATCTCTTCATAGAAGAGGTGTTTTGAGCTCAATATTTTTCTAACATCATCCTTTTCTTTCTCAGAAAGATAATCTATTACATCCAACAGAGCAGGATTTTCAACAACCTGACAAGAAGTTCCCCTTCCAAGCATATCATTAAGCTTTTTGTACCTTTTATTAAGATCATTGAATTTATCCTCACACTGCTGAGGTGAAACATGATAACCCCTTTCAGCCATGACCTTGGAAACAGATTTCCACTTCCCCTTTTTCTGTAGCACTGCAAATTTTCTTCTCCCACTGCCACCATCAGAAGTTCCATCCTCACCTATGTAAGAAACAGCCGTTATCAGAAGCCTCACCATCTTATCAGTCCACTTCACTCGCTGCCACGGCGACCCCTTTCTCCCTCTACCTGCTTCATGATGACCATCAACACCTTCCTCAGCAAAGCTTGGCTCATCTTCCTCACTTGGTGAGTTTTTGTTTCTATCTCCTTGACTAAACTCAGTCATTGACACAGTCTGATCACAGCTCTGCATGGTTCCCATTGTAAGTGGAAAACCGTCATGAACTGAGGAATGCACTGAAGACCCTTGACAAGGATGTGTTTGATGCTGGTTCATGGCATGTGAATGCTGCGCTTGCCTATGAACCCGCATTGATCCAGGCATTTCAAAACCACCAAAAGAACCTCCACCTTGAATCATACCTCCCTGTGACAAATTCCCTTCCATTGCTTCTCACAAACAACAAAATAGATCACACCAATTAACCAATTCTACCATAAATCCTAATTCACACACATATCTAAGTGCTCGTCATAAAACCTACCCATTCAAATCACACAAACTCATCTTTATTCAATCTTCCAACACGTTTTCAAACCCACCTATCACCATCTAGAACTTCAAATGAAAACAGCCCCAAATCACCAATTCAAACACCAATATTCCAAACCCACAGGCAAAAATTCCACAACACAACAGAGGGACCAACCAAAGTGCTAAAATCACCCAGCAGCAAACAAATGTTCAACAAAGATTCACATAAACAAAAGCTTAAAACCTTTTAGAGTCTCATCACTGAGGAAGCTTAGCAACTTATCTGATGAAAATCTGCAGAATCTCAAATCCCCAGATGCCAAGATTGAACCTTTTCCTCGAAATCAAACCGAAAATCAAAAAACAAATATCAAGAGAAAACACACACACACACACACTTAAACTGACGAGTGAAAAAAGCTCCGCAACAAAAATAAGGGAGAAAAAGATGAAAACGAGTGAAGCACTAAAGACAAGGGTTGGTTTGGGTGTCAACAAGTTGCTATGTGACTACGCTATAGGCACACACAAGATACTTTGGACAACAAGGGAAGAACCTTAACTGGTTCAATGTACGAAAAAATAGTGTGGGCCAATACAAGTATTTTATTGTTTCTTTCACAATAAAGGAAGGAGCATTTTAAAATATTGAATCTTTCCTTAAATGATCATATTAATTTCATATCTTAAAGTACCCCTGCTACTTATCGGTGCATCTGAAAAAATGAATTTCATTTAAGTGTAATCTAAAATTCCGAATCCACCCAATTAAAAGATATTATTCTTCTAAAATTATAAATTTCAACTTCATTTACGATAATAAGGGATAGTAATAAGTACTTCATCATTATTATTGTATAATTTTTTACTAGGATATTTCTTGAATATTTTTAATTCTTTCATTTTAATTTTTTAACTTTTTTTCCTAATTAATTTCCTAACTATTTTTCAATTTTTATATTAGTACAATGAAAAATATAACTTTTATCAATACAAAGCTATAATACATATCAAGCTAATTAAATAAATGATTGTATATTATTGTGCAAGCCAATTTAAAAAGTGTTTTTAGGTTTTAGCAGGACATATTCTTAGGCAATTAAGACAATTGCCTTGGGCTTCAAATGTATTTTTAAGTCTTACTTTTATATAATTTTAAATATTATTGTACGGGATAGGAAAATTGATGGACCCTACATATAGAAGAAAGGAAACTGAATACTTATTCGGTTAGTCTAAATCAGTACCTCTAAGATTCAAAGATAAATAATAATTAGAACTTTATCCAAACCATGAAAAGGGCCAAAAGTCAGAGTTGACACAGGCCCATTAGCCCATTACAGTGTCTATAAAAGAAAGGTAGAAAGGGCAGGTAAAGGGTTGACTCTTTATCATTGAATATCATTTATTGCTCTGAGCCGAATCCTACCTTCAACATCGGAGTGCCTTTTGCAGGTACCCTCCTACATCAGCAATTGTCAGAAGGACACCAGAGCAAAGGTTGAAGACAGTCGTTTCTCAAGAAGAAACATTTTGGCGCCCACCGTGGGGCAGAATTGACTTCATTCTTCAGGATTAAGCATGGTAATGACGAGAAGCCAGCAAGAAGGAACCTCTCGGCAACAAATGGAGGGCATCACGCCAGAGGAACCAGTACCTGAAGTGGTGATGCAGGGAGGAACGGAGGAAAGCATTCTAGCTGCACTGAGGCAGCTTAAGGCAGAAATGATGGAGATGAAGAAGGAACGCGAAAGAGATGCACTGGAACTCTCGGCCCTAAGGAGGGAAAATGCTGGCTTAAGGGAAGAAATAAGGACACACATCCCTTCCCAAACGACGCCTTTCATCCAAGATCAAGGGGAATCCTCAGCACTGCAAGACAAATCAAGGCAAGTCTATCAATCGGCAACCAAAGATGACCGGGACGACCTTGTGAACCGGAGCCCGTTCATTCACCGCATTCTGGAAGCCAAGCTGCCCGATAATTGGAGAGGGTTGGCAATAGACAAATACGATGGCACATCCGACCCCGGAGAACACGTGGATATCTTTACAACGCAGGTCGGTCTGTACACAGAAAGCGATGCCTTATGGTGCAGAATTTTTCCTACTTCACTCCAAGGACCTGCACTCAGTTGGTTCACCCGACTCCCCCCTCTCTCCATCGACTCGTTTACAACTCTCACAAGACGTTTCAACTTGCAGTTTGCCACAAGCCGACCCCATCCCCTAACATCCTTGGCCCTAGTCAATATTCGCCAAGAGAAAGGAGAATCACTTAGAGCGTTCATGGAACGCTTTGGCAAAGTGACTCTCTCAATTCATAACTTGGAACTAGCAGTAGTTATGCACCACCTCACAACAGCGTTAAAGCCGGGACCCTTTGTTAATAGCCTCTGCAAAAAGCCCCCGATTAACCTAGACGAGTTAAGGAGTCGGGCTGCGAAGTACATGCAAATGGAAGAATTATCCGAATATCGGAGCCAGGTACGGATGGACCAAGGATCTAACTCAAAAGATATAGAAGGAAAGGAGGCCTTTAAAGCAAGGCGGGGGAACGACAGAGGAAATGAACTTGAGCGACCACCTCGGCGACCGAAGTATCCGTCCTACACGACGCTCAACACTAATCAGGCCAGAATACTTGATCAAGCGTTGGCCACAGAAATATTGAGAATGCCTAGACGCGCTAACACTCCCCCTCGGGCAGATAAAAGCAAGTCTTGCCGATACCATCAGAACAGGGGTCACACTACTGAAGAGTGTACGGCACTGAGAGACAAAATTGAAGAATTGATTAAAGGTGGATACCTAAAAGATTTTGTACAGACAGATCCCACAAAGCAATCTAACAGAGGAAGAGATCGTCACCCTGATTCACCAAAGAGATTCGACCACAAAAAAATTGAACGACACAGGACCACAGGAGCAGGTCCAGAAAGCCCCCAGCTAGAAGATTTGAAGAAAAGTACCCGAAAAGGGTCATTAACACCATAGCCGGAGGGTTCGCTGGTGGAGGACCTACCCATTCAGCTAGAAAAAGGCATCTTCGGCATGTCCGTTCGGTCAATAATGTTTCATTGGGCAGCAGAATTCGGATCCCGCCTATTACGTTCACTGACGATGACTTTCAGGAAGTCGATCCGGTGCAGGATGATCCCATGGTAATTAGTGTAGACATTCTTAACTGCACTGTTCGAAAAACACTAATTGACCAAGGGAGCTCGGCCGATATCCTATACAGGAATACATTCAAGCAATTAGGCATCGCAGAACAAGAGCTCAAAGAATACCATGAACCATTGGTTGGGTTTTCCGGGGAACGAGTAGAGACCAAGGGATGTATTGACTTGTATACCACGTTTGGATCAGAACATGAGGGCAAAAGCATAAGAGTCACTTATCTTGTAGTACACACAAACACATCTTATAATATACTACTCGGCAGACCATCCCTGAACAAATTGAAGGCCATAGTGTCCACTCCGCACTTGGACATGAAATTTCTGTCTGAAAGAGGCCGAATTGTTACCGTCCATGCTGATCAAAAAACAGCCAGGGAATGTTACTTTGCAAGTTTACGCCTTAAACCATTTCATGGGAATAACCGTGATGTCAATATTGTATCCCCTTGGTTGGAAGAAGAGTTGGATGTTGAACTTGATCCTAGAATGGATGCGGAATATCGTGTCGAGCCCAATGAAAACAAACAATCCTTCTAACTAGGAGCAAAGCCAGAACAAGTTGCGTATTTAGGGATCGGTTTGAACGAACAAGAAAAAGCCGTCCTCCAAAAGATGCTGGTAAATAACGCCGATTTGTTTGCTTGGATAGCCTCGGATATGCTTGGCATTGATCCAGCATTTCTTTGTCACCACTTATCGGTCTATAAAGGAGCCAAGCCGGTAGCTCAAAAGAGGAGAAAAATTGGTGGTGATAGAGCAAAGGCAGTAAAAGAAGAAACCAGCAAACTGATACAAGCTGGCTTTATCCGAGAGGTCAGGTATTCAACATGGTTAGCCAACATTGTCATGGTTAAAAAAGCTAGCGGCAAATGGCGAATATGCACGGACTTCACGGACCTCAATAAAGCATGCCCAAAGGACGCATACCCACTACCAAACATTGATACCTTGGTCGATGGTGCAGCCGGTCACAAAATACTGAGCTTTTTGGATGCTTATTCTGGGTACAATCAAATACGAATGTACCCCCCGGATGAGGAAAAAACAGCATTCATCACAAATTCAACAAATTTTTGTTATCGAGTGATCCCGTTTGGTCTGAAGAATGCAGGAGCAACATACCAGCGACTCATGAACAAAATTTTTGAAAAACAAGTGGGTAAATGCATGGAGGTGTATGTAGACGACATGGTAATTAAATCCCTCGCATTGAAGCAACATCTTGACCACTTAGATGAGGTATTAGGAGAAGCCAGAAAACATGGTATGAGGTTCAATCCTGAAAAATGTACGTTTGGTGTAGGTGGCGGTAAAATTTTGGGCTTCATGTTGCCAGAAAGGGGGATTGAGGCAAACCCCGACAAATGTAGAGCCATCATTGACATGGCCAGTCCTCGCAATGTCAGGGACGTGCAACGACTGACCGGGCGGATCACAGCCCTTGCTAGATTCATGCCAGTAATGGCAGAAAGGTCTCAGCCTTTCATCGAATTGTTGAAAAAATCTTAAAAATTTGCTTGGTCCAAAGAGTGTGAGGACACCTTTGTACAATACAAGCATGTGCTGGCGGCACCACCTGTGTTGATTAAACCAACACCAAATCAGGAAATGATTGTTTATTTGGCTGTATCCGATCACGACGTCAGTTCGGTTCTACTTTAAGAAACACCTGAACCGAACCCCGTATATTTTGTTAGCAGGACACTCCAAGGTCCTGAATCTCGGTACCAGTTAATGGAGAAAGTGGTACTTGCCCTAGTCCATACAGCTCATCGGTTAAGACACTACTTTCAGAGCCATCGGATGGTGGTACGTATAGATTGTCCGATGGCCAAAATATTGAGGAAACCAGAATTGGCTGGTCGGTTGGTGGCATGGACAATTGAATTATCTCAGTTTGATATCCATTTCGAGAACTGACGCTCCCTTAAAGCCCAAGTGTTAGCCGACTTCATCAATGAGTTCACTACACAACATGATACCATTTCAGACATGTGGAATGTGCATGTTGATGGATCATCAAATCAATTAGGTAGTGGAGCGGGGGTCATTCTTGAAGGACCGAATGCATTCGCCATTGAACAGTCTATCCGGTTCGGATTTAAGGCATCCAACAATCAAGCCGAATATGAAGCTTTACTCGCCGGTCTCAGGCTAGCAAAGGAGATGGGGGTTAAACGCGTTACTGCTTGGAGTGATTCAAAAATTGTAACCGAACAAGTTAACGATACTTATCAGATCAGAGACTCGGTCATGCTTAAATATTACCAGGAGGTCAAGAAAGTAAAAGCCGAGTTTGAGGAGGTATGTATTCGGTACACACCAAGGAACATGAACGCACGAGCCGACAGGCTAGCTAAGTTGGCTAGCCAACGAAAACCAGGGCAGCTGCAGAGCGTGGTTCACCAACAAATCCCCCAACCTAGTGTCACCAAACAAGAATGCATAGACATAGAAAATCCATCTAATAACTGGATGACCCCTCTCACCCGATACCTCACTGATGGCAGCCTCCCACAGGATACAGCTGCAGCTAAGAAAATAAGAGCACATGCAGCCAAATACCTTCTTCTCGGCAAAGAATTGTACCGAAGAGGAATATCCACCCCCATGCTTAAATGCCTAGATGACGATCAAGCAAGCTACATCATGAGAGAGATCCATGAAGGAATTTGCGGAACCCATTCGGGCGGACGAACTATGGCAGCGAAAGTGCTCAGAGCCGGATACTACTGGCCAACAATAACTCAAGATTGTCATTTGTTTGTTAAAAGATGCATTCCCTGTCAACAACACGGCCCTCACCTGCGCCAACACGCCGATACTCTTCGCCACATTAGTTCTCCCTGGCCCTTTGCTATTTGGGGAATGGACCTCCTCGGTCCTTTTCCTTTAGCAAAAGAGCAATGTAAATTTCTCCTCGTCGCCGTAGACTATTTCACCAAATGGATAGAGGCCGAACCCTTAGCCACTATTACTGCCAACAACGTACAAAAATTCACGTGGAAAAACATCATTACTCGGTTCGGCCTCCCTCATGCGCTAATTACCGATAATGGGCTTCAGTTTGCGAATCGTCGGTTCAACAAGTTCCTGGAAGGCCTCCATATCAAACACCGAGTTACATCTGTTGAACACCCCCAGACGAATGGCCAAGCCGAGGCCGCAAACAAAGTGATCTTACATGAATTAAAAAGGAGGTTGGGTTCGGCAAAGGGAGAGTGGGCAGAGAAGCTGCCTGAGATATTATGGGCTTATCGGTGCACGCCGCAGACCACAACAAAAGAAACCCCCTTTCGACTTACCTATGGTACTGATGCCATGGTGCCAGTAGAAATTGGAGAGCCATCATTCAGAAGGGAGAATTTTGAGGAATCGGCTAATGAAGAGGCTCTGGCCGTCAACCTGGACTTAATAGATGAAATACGTGACCACGCTGCCATTATGACCGAGGCTAGCAAAAGAATAATGGCTAGAAAATTCAACTCCAAAATCAGTCCACGACAATTCTATAAAAATGACCTGGTATGGCGAATAATCCGGGACGCACGCAAAGATTGGCGAGAAGGGAAGTTGGCAGCTAACTGGGAAGGCCCCTTTCGGGTAACTGCAAGATTAAATAACGGAGCATACAAGTTGGAAACGTTGGCAGGAAAGCTAATACCTAGAACCTGGAATGTCACTCATTTGAAGCATTACTATAGTTAAAACCTTGTAATACGTGCACAGGTGTACTCTTTTCCTATCCCAGGTTTTATCCTCTCAAAAAAGAAAGTGAAAGGGGTTTTCTTGAGAAGGTTTTTAACGAGGCACCTAATCAATAAAATTCTTCTTTTTTTACCTATACGGTTTTTTATGCACTAAACATCTTTCAAGCGCTAAGGTCGAATTATTTCCCTCCCGAGTACCCCCACTCGGTTAAGGATGAATTAATTATTTCCCTCCCAAGTATGACTCGGTTAAGGATGAATTAATTATTTCCCTCCCGAGTACCCCCACTCGGTTAAGGACGAATCAATTATTTCCCTCCCAAGTATGACTTGGCTAAGGATGAATTAATTATTTCCCTCCCGAGTACCCCCACTCGGTTAAGGACGAATCAATTATTTCCCTCCCAAGTATGACTTGGCTAGGGATGAATTAATTATTTCCCTCCCGAGTACCCCCACTCGGTTAAGGACGAATCAACTATTTCCCTCCCAAGTATGACTTGGCTAAGGATGAATTATTTCCCTCCCGAGTACCCCCACTCGGTTAAGGACGAATCAACTACTTCCCTCCCGAGTACCCCACTCGGTTAACGATGAATTGATTATCCTACATCCCGAATACCGCACTCGGTTAAAAAATGAATTTTTTCCTCCCAACTACCTCCACTCGGTTAAGGTGAATCAATTATATTTCCATTCAAGGTTGAACTTTCCCGGACCAATTACCCTTACTCGAATAAGAATGGAACTTTAATGATATTTTAAATGGCACCTAGTCGATTAAATTTATTTATCTACCCCTACTCGGTTTAACGAAGAAGCTATTTAGAATAAATACCGTTATGTAAAAGGAAAAATGGTCAACTGCTTTAGCAAAAAGTGAACACCAGTGAGAATTTCTATTTCTGTCAAAAAGATTACAAAAAATGGGGCACTTCGGCCCATGAATAGAACAGAAATTAAACTAATTCTCTGGGCGAGAGGTATCAGGACCGGCCGCCTCTACATCAGGGGCTGTAGAATCGACGCTTATATTTCTTCGTGGAGGGGCTTCGGCATCAGGCTCTAAATCTTCATCCACGTCATTATATGCTAGGAACCGACCGCCGAAAAAATCTCTAGTAAGATCGAACTGGAAGTCAGGAGGCACTTGGCAAAAACCATAGCACTGGCGAACGGCATGATTAAAACCCGACTCGTGTTCAATAGCCACTTGAGCTGAACACTTGTCGGCAAAAGCTTTCATTTCATCATCCGCCCTGTGCCTCTCAGCAGCCACGGCCTCCTCCATTTCAGCAGATTTGGCCCTCAAGGACTCCTCCAACCCTACAGACTTTACCCTCCAAGCCTCCATCTCCTCTTCCCTCGCCTTCAATGCTTGTTCAGTAGCTTGGAGCCGGTTTTCCACTATATGATAATGTTCTTTATATTGAATAACCTCAGCTTCCAAAGCTTTATTGGTTTCGGCCAGATTTTGCCGAATCTCCTCATTTTCTGCAAGGGTTTGTTGAGCGGCAGCATACTCGTTTTGAACCTTTCTCATCTCCCGTGTGGGCTCCAGAGCCAATCGTCGGAGCATCATCATAGCTCGGATTTGAAACTCCGAGAAGTATTTCCACACGGACTCGATCTCAAGATTGCTAACCGCCTCCTTTCCTGCATCCGACAACAGGTCAGGTGCAACTGCTCGGCCAACATGAACACCATGGTTGAAGAAGGCGTCGGTCAGAAAGAAAGAAGGGAAGACGCTATTAGAGGAACTGGCAGCGCCGGAGGCCAGCTCACCCCGACCCTGATGACGGCTACCATCCGAGCCACTCGGCCTTC